AATAGAATAGAATAGAATAGAATAGAATAGAATAGAATAGAACAGAAATATAGAATAGAAATATAGAATAGAATATGGTATAGAATATGGTATAGAATATGAAATGGAACAGAACAGAACAGAATAGAACAGAACAGAACAGAACAGAACAGAACAGAAATATAGAATAGAAATATAGAATAGAATATGGTATAGAATATGAAATGGAACAGAACAGAACAGAACAGAACAGAATAGAATAGAATAGAATATGAAATGGAACAAAACAGAACAGAACAGAATAGAATAGAATAGTTTTTCAGTTTCAGTTTCACAGCACCAAGCAGCTTTAGTACAGAACAGTTGAGCTAAGCCATGCCCAGGCTCCTTGCTGTCTCCTTCTTGCTCACAGAGCAAATACTATTTTGGTTTCCAAACAGCCCTCAACTCTCTCACACACTAACAGGATGCTAGCCAGATGAATACTGATAGATGCTGGTAGGCAGAAGCCCAATTGTCCCCCCTTATTTTCCTCCCCAAAAAGTAAGCCCAACCACATAGTTTTGTAGCAAAGCATCAAGCTAGTTAAATATGTTTTAATGCCATAGAAGCAAACACTTCAAACACAAATGATCTTTATATCCTGCTGAAAAAAGAGGCTCAAAAGTTTATTTATGTCATACAGTTTATTCTTAGCGTTCGCCTGGACTACCGGATATCCTACATGCTCTCTATTTACAAGAAGGAATTTGGGGAGAACAACGAAAATGTTGACAATTCCACAATGTCTCCCCCCGACTCACCAGCTCTCAGCTCAGGTAAGGCAGAATAAACCAAGGATACGATGGTTTAAGCAACATTGCTGTCGTTTTTCCGTGTCGCACCAGTTGCTGCTGATCGCTTCTTTCTGGCACAAAACTAGGAAAGGAGGAGGATGGCTTTTGTAGTGTTGAGTGTGCATCGTCTTCTATTGCAGCGGCTGTTCCTGATATAGATGAAATTGCTGCAGAAGCAGAAACCATGTTTGCTGGCAGGTGAGCCCATATCTTCGGCCTGTTGTTTCGCTTGGCCCACTCCTTTCTGCTGTCTTCACTCTAACAGGCAGGGATGGGATTCAAAAATCCCAGCAACCGGTTTGCTGCCCAGTTGCTGGGTGGGCACGGGCATGGTACGTGTGGCCTACCAGAACTTCTGGGAGGGCGAATTTTCACCTTCCCCAGAGTCCGGAGGCTTCCCTTGGGCCTCTGGGAGGGTGAAAATGGCTTCCCCCAGGCTCCAGAGGATCTCCGAAAGCCAGAAACAGGCCCATTTCCAGACTTCCGGAAGCCCCATTTTTTGCCCTCCCAGAGCCTCGTGGACACTCCTGAGGGGAGAGGTTGGGTGGGTGGGGCCAGTTGAACCAACTGGTTCAACTAACAGTTCAGTGAACCAGGTGTAAATTTAACATCCGGTTCGCCCGAACCAGTCCGAACCGGCTGAATCCCACCCCTGCTAATAGGCCTAATTAATACTTTTCATTAATCTTTCTATTTCCTCTGAATAGCATATCTATACACTCCTGTTTCTCTGTGGCAGAAATTTTAATCTTCAGATTGTTTTGCAAACTCCGGGTGGCTTTTAGGAAGCTTGAAAGCCCTACTGCTTCTGTTTGACCAAAAATATTCAAGGCCACCCACTAAGAACAGTTCCCTGAGTAGTAAGTTGGACAGTTTGTGAGCACATAAATTCATCGCTAGAATCTTTTTTCAGATCTACACATTATCTACAAATCTACAAATTAAAAACAGCAGTGGACTAAGATTTGTTTTCAGTTCAGGTTCCTGCTGAGAGCCTGAACTTCATTTGTGAAGGCATCTTGGATGGTCTTGGGCAGTAGGCCAGGCTGATAAGATTCCAGGACCATTAACTAGTGGAACGACTTGCCTTCAGAAGTTGTGGGTGCTCCCTCTCTGGAGGTTTTTAAGAAAAGACTGAAGAGCCACTTCTCTGGTATATAGTCTCCTGCTTGAGCAGGGGTTGGACTAGAAGACCTCCAAGGTCCCTTCCAACTTCGTTATTCTGTTAAAATTAGATTCCAAGAATCCCAGAGAAGGAAGTCTCCAAAACAGCCACTCAATTTGACCAATTTGATACAGACTCGGAAAGGAAGCTTGAAATTGCAATTACATAAAGTCAGCTGAGGGTTTTGTCAATAAGATTTAGGGTTTTGGTGCCTGATTTCTTAGTTTTAGGCAAATATGGAGAGTAGCATATTAAATAGATGGATTTCCTGGTTTTTCCTTATTCCTTGCTTTGACCAAGTCGCCTAGATGAAATGGAACAATTTGCCACAGTGAACTCAGCTTGCCAATGCCAACTTATTGCAGGACAACACACCGTAGCCAACTTGCCGTGGGACAATTTAACCATTCTATTTAATTATTCAAAAGAAATTTTTTAAAAAATACTTTAATTTTTGCCATTCACATTTCAATCCATCCCTTGTTTTGCATCCTTTCTTTAACGATTCGATTCCACGATTTCTTTGATATTAGAGTAACTCTTGTCCCCTAGCAAGTTGTATGACGGCAATTTGGCCACGGCAAGTTAGCCATGGTGAGTTGGCTGTGGAGAATTGTCACGGACCCACTCCAAGAATCTCCTCAGGTGATAGGTCCTCAACTTTTGAGTGGAGCACAAAGTGATCCACCTGTTCTGACCCAGCTCCTCAAACACGACAAACCCTCTGATGTGAACTCAAAAGATTCCTTTATTAGGAGTCCCGGCAGCCCCGGCAAAAAGTTTCTCTCACGCGGGGCTTCACTAGCAGCAGTGGCTCCTCTGTCCTGAAGACCAGCCCATAGATTTCCACTGCTCTTCTCTCCTCTGCCTTCTGTGCATCTGGCACTGGACACGGCTGTTCCTCCTCTTCCTCATCAGCCACCTCCAAACCTGGGAATGTTGACTCTCCACCTGAGGGCTGATGGGCAGCCCAGGCTCCGCCTCTGTCTCTGTCTCTGTCTCTGTCTCTCTTTCTCTCTGACAGCTCCATTCCTTCTTCCCCCTCAGAGTTCCCAGGTTGCCCTGAAGCTGACCCTGACTCCCACGCCTCCTTCTCCTCCTTCTCTGATTTGGCTGCTGGAGGGGTCAACAGGCCACAACACTACCTGACAGAATGAACCCTCTCTTCAGAATGTCCCCTCTAAATAGGCTTAATGTTGCATGTGTTGCTATGACTAGATTCTCTCTCTTTCTCTCTCTTTCTCTCTCTTTCTCTCTCTTTCTCTCTCTTTCTCTCTCTTTCTCTCTCTTTCTCAGGAAGGAAAAGAACGCCGTACAACTGGACGATGAAGGGGGCAGGACGTTTTTGCGAGTTCTGATTCACCTTATAATGCACGATTACCCTCCTCTGCTCTCGGGAGCCCTGCAGCTCTTGTTTAAACACTTCAGTCAGCGAGCAGAAGTGCTGCAAGCATTTAAGCAGGTACATAAGGCCACTGGAATCCCAGAGGTGGAGCTCTCGCCTCACAATCAAGAGGCTGTGAGTTCGATCCTAAATAGAGGCTGATATTTCTCTCTCCGGGCACGATGAGAATATATCTGCCGAACAAAACTCTGCATTGGCAACAGGAAGGGCATCCGGCCAGTAAACACTGTTAGCTCCATTCATTTGCCCAGACTCCACCCAGCAAGGGATTATGGAGTCATTAAATGACGAACAATAATATAACCAGAATGTTGATTTTAAGTTAAAGGTTTTTCCCCATCCAGTCGTGGCCAACCTTAGGGTGTGGTGCTCATCTCCATTTCTTAGCCAAGGGAGCCAGCATCATCTGAAGACATTTCCATGGTCATATGGCCAGCAAATGCGCATGAAACACTGTTACCTTCCTACTGAAGTGGATCCTATTTATCTACTGTGATAACTGCATATGATAATGTTCTCCTTTTCTTTAATGAGAAGGAATATCTAACCAGACTCACAACAGCAGTTTTGACTCACCACGTACAGAAAATGAACAAATCTTATTGTTAGGGTTCCGAGTAATGCATCCATCAAACTACCTCCGAGGCAGGTAGTTTCCTCAAAGAACATATTTATTGGCTACATCATAACGACCCAGCTAGTGAAAACCAACTCTAAAAGTTCCCACAGTTTTTCTCCTAATTAAGAGAGCAAATAATTCCCTCCCCATATGTCCCCAGTCACATTGCCCAATGAAAGTAGCTGGCAGGCTGTTTGGTCACTCCTCCTTCATCTGCCACCTGTTGAGATGACCTTGGTTCCCACAAGAAAACTTTTTGTTTTGACTGGGAGCCATTCTATCTACTTCCCCCTCCCTTCCCCCTCTCAGAGTTTGTGGCAACTATGAGGCAGCAAAAGATAGCTTCAGCCAGGTTCACTTCAGAGTTGACAATGACTCCAAGCAGCCCATCAAGAAGGGTGAGGCTGCTTTGGTGTAAAATCTCCACATTTGATGCAATTAAGCTTTTGTTGAATTCTGAATATTTACAGGTCCAATTGCTGGTGTCTAACCAAGACGTGGACAGTTACAAGCAAATTAAAAGTGACCTTGACCAACTAAGACTGACCGTAGAAAAATCAGAACTTTGGGTCCAAAAAACCAGTAATTATGAAAATGGAGTATTGGGTGAAAATCAAACAAAAGGAAGTGATGAACCAATCGAAGTGAGTCTTTTCTGGTTTCAATCCTTTTCATCATTCCTACTTTTATTTTCCTAGGCATTGAAAGTTTTGCAAGCATTGCTACTTTTTTTATTATTATTATTCAGTTTATTGTAACTATCATTCTAGACAAATTCCTTGTGTGTCTGATTAAACTTGGCCAATAAAGAATATTCTCCTCTCCTCTCCTCTCCTCTCCTTCTTCCTATCTTCCCTTCCCTTCCCTTTCCTTCCCTTCCCTTCCCTTCTCTTCTCTTCTCTTCTCTTCTCTTCTCTTCCCTTCCCTTCCTTTCCCTTCTTCTCCTGCTGCAGTCTTTTCCCCTCCCCTTTCATTCAGTCTTCCATTTTTTTATTTAGACAATTTGTATGGCCACTTTCTTAAATGCATGATTCCGGCTGGCTAACAACGGTTCACAAATACATACAAAATCAAACCTCACAGGCAAATACAAACCTAGTTAACAACCATAACAACCAATAACTGCTTTACATTTTACTTTTCGACTCTTTCTTGAAATTATAGGATTCAAACATGTTGAGTCCAGTCCAAGATGGCAGTAAGAAACCTCAGATTGATACCAACAAGAGTAACAACTATAATATAGTTATGGAGGTATGTTGATATTATAGTAATATTTCAGCTCTCAAAGGGTCACCACCTCCAATATGCACTATATAATATAACAGAACAAAATAAATAAATACAAATAAATATACCGTGTTTTTCACAAAATAAGGCCGGGCCTTATTTTTTTTTGACCCCCGAAAAAATGGCTAGGCCGTCTTTTCAGGGGTGACTTAATTCTCCCCCCTTGCATCCTTGGGTGGGCGGGCGGCAACAGTTTGGATGTTGACCTCAGCGTTGGTGGGGCACTTCATATCGGGAGACCTTCCGCCACCGTTGCTTTCCCTTCTCCCCGTGCTGCCGCGGCGTTTAGAGCAACGCCGTGGCGTTTGGTGCAGCCAGCCAGGGCTCCTCCCTGCAACTGGAGCCCGGTGGAGACACTCAGCTTCAGGCATTCCTGTCGCCGCCTTCCCTTTGCCTTCAAAGGTAAAGCCAATTCTTTTAAAAATGACACCCTACTACAACAAAGCCTCCCCTGCCCAAGAGGGCAGCCCAACCCCACGTGGGGAGTCAAATCTCCCGGGGCCACAGCGCAGGAGAAACACGGTAGGATTATGCATGTACCCACATATACTACATGCCACAGAGAAACAACACAGTTTAGTCTGGATGTATACATGTATATGGTGAGAGAAACTAATCTTGTGAGTTTGCCAGATGGATGGCATAGGGAACAAAGCTATTACAGAATCTGGTAGTCCTGCTAGAAATATTTCGAAATCTCCTCCCAAAGGGGAGCAACAGAAACAGGCTGTAAAGTGGGTATGTGGGCCTCTAATGCTTTGAGCTCTAAGCACATAGTGCTTATAAGCAGCATCCTGAATACCAGCAAGTGAGCTTCCTATGATCTTCTCCGCTGTCCTCACCACTCTCTGTAGGGACTTTCTATCTTAGGCTCTGCTGCCACCAAACCAAACAGGGATGCAGTTTGTTAAAACGCTCTCCATCATGGCTCTGTAAAAAGTGGCCGGGACAGAAGGAAAAAGAGGTGCAGAGGTATATCCGATGCAAGAACTATATTTGTCTTCATTCGTGAAACAAAAAACAAATGATGTCCACTATCTGTCATGCCCCTGGTGGAGACTGACTCTGAGGGAGAGGAGGAACAGCCGAAGTATGGAAGTGTGGCTCCAGAGGTTGTGGAGGAGGCTGGGGAAGGGCAGAGGCTGGCTGAGTGGAGGACCCAGGGCCATTCCCTCTCCATCCTAGGGCACGCAGGGAGGAGAGGATAAGGGAGACACATGGTCTACTGGGCAGGAGAGGGCCTTGATCCTCTTTATTAGCTGCAGCTGTGACAACTGAATAAGAAGACGGACATGCATACGTGCCAGTGCTGGAAACAAAGCATGGAAATAGCTCTAGTTTATTGTTCCTCTCTGAGTTTGCCTCCTTCCCAGTGTGTTCTGATATCTGTGGACATCCTCCAGCCCTTATCTTGCCTGGTTTGTGTTGTCTTTTACTCTTTATAATTTAAACGGCATTTCCTCCTTCTGGTAACTGCTCGTGTGGGAGTTTTTTGTCTCCAGTCAAGAATATTTGGAGCTTGGAAGTAAAGTGAAGGAATAAAAGGGGCTTCACCTGTTTTTTTGTGACCGTGTTTATTTTGTATCCCACCCTGGGTGATCACACTAACTGTGGCTTTTCATCCACAGATTTTGATCCGGTTACGAGGGCTCTGCATTCAAAACAAGAAATGTCGGAATCAGCAGCAGCGCTTGCTTAAAAATATGGGAGCCCACAGTGTCGTGCTGGATCTCCTTCAAATACCCTACGAAAAGGTAAGGATGGGATGTATTTGGTAATACAGTTGGTAGTGCAGGAAATGAAGCACAGGAAAAGGGCAGGGGTGGGTGGGTGGGACAAATGATCACTGGAACTACCGGTTCGCCCGAACTGGTCCGAACCGGTAGAATCCCACCCCTGAATACAGTATATAGTTAATTGGTAATGATCATTAATGCAAATAATTAAATTATTAAATTAAATGATTATGATTAAGGGAGGCTATTTTCCCTTTCAAACTCTTGCAATCCTGAACTAAAATTGAACATGTAATGTGTGGGACAGCCTCCACTAATATTTATTTCTAACTGTTTTTTTTTTCTTTTGTTGGACCATCTCACAATTGAAATAATGACTACGACTGAAGACTGATCAAAAGATGAATGAAATTATGACCTTAGCTCACCTGTTCCTTCAGAACTTCTGTCGTGGAAATCCCCAGAATCAGATCCTTCTACATAAACACCTCAACCTGTTCTTAACCCCTGGGGTCAGTATTTAATTCCTGGATGAATTTCTCACTGGAAGGGATGGTGTTTGTATCCAAAGAAGACTGCATGATCCTGTATTTGAAAATTCAAGGCTGTGAGGGAGGCCTTCGTGCTCTCTGAGCTTGGTGGTTTTCTTGCAGATGTTTCATTACCAAACTAGGTAACATCATTAGTGCTAGGAAGGAGGAGGAGGAGGAAGAAGAAGAGGAAAAGGAAGAGGAAGAGGACTGTGGGGTCGTTGGAGCTCTCTGAGCTTGGTGGTTTTCTTGCGGATGTTTCGTTACCAAACTAAGTAACATCATCAGTTGTAACACAATGCTAGCACTGATGATGTTACCTGGTTTGGGTCATGAAACGTCTGCAAGAAAACCACCAAGCCCAGAGAGCACCAAGGACCCCTTGTTTCAACTCTGAGCTACAAATATTCTCCTTTATTGGAATTCAAGGCTATCTTTTCTTATGTGAAAGATTAGGATAGAATAGCAGGTCTGCTTACTTAACATCCCATTACTGCGAAGATTCTCTACTGACCAGCTTCAATTCAACCTTTTTAAGACCAGAAGTTGGTCTTACTCAAAAGAGGGAGAATTTTGAATAAGCCTGAATACCGGCCTTGAAGAATAAAATACAAGAGAGAGACATTATTCCACATAAGATTAGCTTTCTTTAGATTAGTCAATATATAGAAAAAGTGCAATCGAAAAAGTGCAGAGAAGAGCAACCAGGATGATTAGGGGACCGGAGGCTAAAACAGATGATGGACGGTTGCTGGAACTGGGCCTGGCTAGTCTAGGGAAGAGAAGGACCGGGGGAGACAGGATAGTAGTGGTCCAATATTTGAGGGGCTGCCACAGAGAGAAGGGAGTCAAGTTATTTTCCAAAGCACCTGAAGGGCCAGACAAGGAATAATGACTGGAAACTGAACAAGGAGAGATTCAACCTGGAAATAAAGAGACATCTTCTCTGACAGAATAATCAACCCATTGAACAACAGTTGCCTTCAGAAGTTGTGGGAGCTTCATCCCTGGAAGCTTTCAAGAAGAGACTGGACTGCCATCTGTCAGAAATGGTGTAGGGTCTCCTGCCTGGTTGGGGGGTTGGACTAGATGACCTCCAAGGTCTCTTCCAAGTCTGTTAATCTGTAATCTATCACGTGTAAATACCACTGATATTATCGTACATTTCCCCCCTCTTCCCCATGTTTAAATTAGCTTCTTGAGGCCGAAACCCTGAGGCACATATTCACCAACAATTACCATCTGTGCAATGAAATTAGCGAGCGGGCAGTGCAGCATTTTGTCCACTGCATCGAGACGCACGGCCGCCATGTTGAATATCTGCGTTTTTTGCACACCATTGTCAAAGCCGATGGTAAATACGTCAAGAAATGTCAGGACATGGTTATGACAGAGGTAAGTTAAGGCAGCAGCCTCCAACCTTTTGGGCACCAGGGATGGGTTCCAAGGAGACAGGTTGTCCGGAATAGTAGAGGGTTTCCTGCTTGTGTCGAGGGTTGGACTAGAAGATCTCTCAAGTCCCTTCCACCCCTGTTTGTCAGGATTCTGGCACTTAACCCCATTTAAATCATGAGTCTCGAGCCAAATTTCCAAAACTTCAAAATGATTTATTGGGAGTTAACACGCTGGCACTGCCTGGGTGTAGCTGACTCTGAGGCACATCATTCATTGTCACTCTTGACCCTAGTTTCCCCCCACCCCCTGGATGTATCGTAATTCATATTCTCCAATGGGACACATCCATAGCCCAGAGTCATCCATCATGCTCTTCAGTTAGAATTTTGCCTGGCAGAAACTTCAGTCACCTAGTTACTATCTTTGAAAAACTATTTATGGAATGCACTTTCGGTTTGCAAGCTGCCCCACTGCTCTTTCAGACCCCTTCCCCCCCCTCCCTTTCTGTTGGCAACTCTAAAAAGACCATAGAAATATTTTATGAGTGGACACTGTTATTGTGGGTGAGTAATAATGCCAGGTCTCATTTCAGCTGATCAACGGTGGGGAAGATGTCCTGGTGTTCTACAACGACAGAGCCTCCTTCCCAACCCTCCTTCACATGATGTGCTCTGAGCGAGACCGAGTAGATGAGAGCGGGCCTTTGGTGTATCACATCACCCTGGTGGAACTGCTGGCAGCCTGCACCGAGGGCAAAAACGTCTACACGGAGATCAAATGTAACTCTCTCCTTCCCTTGGATGACATCGTGCGAGTGGTGACGCATGACGACTGCATACCCGAGGTAGGTTGAACATTGTTGTCTGTTCTGAAAATAAGCTGGGTTCTAATATTGCACATTGCTGAAGTAGCAGAGGTGGTATTGAGCCGGTTCTGAGCGGTTTTGGAGAACCGGTCGCGGAAATTTTGAGTAGTTCAGAGAACCAGCATAAATCCCAGCTCTGACTGGCCCCGCCAACCCCATCTATCCTCTGCCTCCCATTGAGTCTCAGCTAATCGGCTGGGTCTTCTTTGGTTGCCCTGCACAGGAGAACGGAGCTGGACAAGGCTTTGTGGAATGGTTGTGATGTATCTATTGGTGGGAAAATCCAGTGGGCCTGCTCCTTCTTTCCTTTGCATCAGTGACAATTGCTTTGAACTTCCAGATCAAGATTGCGTATGTCAACTTTGTCAATCACTGCTATGTGGACACCGAAGTGGAAATGAAGGAAATTTACACCAGTAACCATATCTGGAAGCTGTTTGAGAATTTTCTGGTTGACATGGCAAGGGTAAGCCTTTAGATGTCTTCATTGGAAAAAAATTGTTTATCTTGGACAATTTTTTTTAATATTGAAACTTACTTTAATTTCTAGCTAAATAAAGAGAGAACTTCCCTCAAAGCACATATCTTAAAGCTGTGGAGGTTGGAAAACACTAGAATGAAGTCGTGCAAGTAATTTTCAAGGCAAGAACTGGACAATAGATAGATAGCTGGTAGATAGATGATTGGCACGGTGGCCTAGAGGTGAAAATGCTCACCTCCCACTTGGAAGGTTGAGAGTTCAATCCTAGATAGTGGCAGATTTTTCTCTATCAGGGTGCAAAGAGAAAATATCTGCTGTGAACTCCAGGTAGGCTTCAAGAAGGGCATCCGGCCAGTAAATGTTCAGCTCCATCTGCATTACAGGATCATAAAAGGGAAGAGATTATTTTATTGTTATTGTTATTATCAAGGAAATCACGATTTTCAGTGACCAGATTATCCAGGTTCAATTTTGCTTTGCTTCAAAAGTTTTCACGCCGTGAAGAAAAGCAACAGGAGCTATTTTGGCAGTTAAGGACAGAAATTGCAGCTCCCTTGTGTCTGTCTGTCTGTCTGCGTTATGACATGTCTGTCTTTTCCCACTGATAGGTTTGTAACTCCAGTACAGACAGAAAACATGCCGATTTATCTCTCGAAAAATATGTCACCGAACCAGTCATGAGTATCATAAGTGGCTTTTTCAGTTCTCCGTTTTCAGACAACAGCACAAGCCTCCAGGTAAGACATCAGTGACAAGAGTCCGCTTGAAACAATGTGTGTGTGTGTGCCTGTGTGCCAAGTCACGTTTATTTAATGTTTCGATAAAGTTTCCCTCAGGAAAATAATTTTCCTAGATAAAGAAATAACTCAAAGGCTATACACCATAATACATTTTGAGTGGAGGTCACTACTGCTGGCGGAAGTGAGGATATGCGTGCGTGCGTGCGTGCGCTCGCAGGCCGTTTCCACAGACCCGTTGGAAACCCCCTCAGAGCCCACTAGTGGTCTACAGCTCACAGGTTGGAGGACCCTCATCAGGGGTGGGATTGGGCCAGTTTGGGTGAACCGGATGTTAATTTTACATCCAGTTCGGCAAACCGGTAGTTCCAAAGACCAGCTGGCCCCACCCTACCCTGCCCCTCCTCTCCCAGCCGTCTGCTCTGACTCTGGACTCACGCAAGCTGTCTGCCATGCAGTCTGCTTCAGGACTGGCCCTTGGCACCCGTAGATTGTCCCCCCCCATGTGTGTCGTGCTCTGGGACAAATGGGGAATGTAGAGCTCGATACCTAGTAGTCCCCATGTGTCTAGTTCTGGCTCCCAGGTAAGTGCAGGGAGGCTTGCTAGGCCCAAAAACAGGGCGCACTGGGGTGTGTGTGTGTGCAATGCATCCCTCCGCACCCCGTTTTGGCTCCCCTGTGGCTCCAGGGAGCCTTGCTAGGCCCAAAATGGGGTGTGGGGTGTGTGTGGCGCACGGCCTCATGCCCAGAGGTGGTATTCAGCTGGTTCTGACAGGTTCTGGAGAACCAGTAGTGGAAATTTCGAGTAGTTCGGAGAACCGGCAAATCCCACCTCTGACTGGCCCCACTCCCATCTCTTCTCTGCCTCCCATTGAGTCCCAGCTGATCGGCTGGGTCTTCTTTGCTGCCCTGCACAGGAGAATGGAGCTGGAAAGCAGGCTAGTGGGGTGGGGAAGGAATAAGGATTTTGCAGTATCCTTCCCCTGCCATGCCCACCAAGCCACTCCCACAGAACCGGAAGTAAAAAATATTGCTCACGCCCCATTTTTGCTCCTATGAGGCTGCAGGGAGGTTCCTACACCCAAAATGAGAATCTGAACTACTAACAGCCAAGGGAAATTAGCGGGAGATAAGGAATTCACAGCGGGTTAAAGTTAGATCTCTGGTTGTAAGTCACTATTTTCAGTGCTGTTGTAACTTTGAACGGTCACTAAATGAACTGTTGTAAGTCGAGGATTACCTGTGTATTCATGAGACTCCTTTGTAAAGAGGAGAATATTTGCAATTTGTCTACAGGGAGTGTTAAATGGATCATAACGCGTGTATTTGTGTTTCATTTCCTGAAAGGGCGAACATCACTTTGCCTGAATGAATTTGTGTCCGTTGTGTTGCTTCTTTCAGACACATCAGCCGGTCTTCATCCAGCTGCTACAATCTGCTTTCAGAATTTACAACTGTACTTGGCCAAGTCCAGCCCAGAAGTCTTCCGTGGAATCTTGCATCAAAACATTGGCCGAAGTTGGTGGGTAATTTTAATGGTTCTTTTCTTAATTCTTCCTTTCAGGAATCACATGGAATGGTAATAATTTTCATGAAATTAGCTTTCTGGAAATTTGTCTCTAATTTAGGGCATGTTGTTCTGACAAGGGGTTACTGAGGCCATAATTACGCACACGCTCAGTTACAATAAATCTTGTTTTATTTCAGTGCTGGGAATTATGTTCATTCCCAGCCCGTAATGAGTCCCAAACAGTCCCTCGAGATAAGCACCCACCTTTCTCTCCTTTCATTTGCTGCCAACAACTAAAGTGCCAAATGAACTATAAAACAAACAACTGAAGTACAAAGTCCACACAGAGCTTCAAGGTTGAATCCGAACAGAGTGAACGACTTTGCTTCCTGCAAAGGTTTCTCTATCTTTGCCTGTCCTTTATATCTTATGGGAGGGGCAGTCACCTCCAAGCCTCACTCCCAAGTCGCCCCTTTTGTCTTAGCTGCTCTTGCCTTCTGGCAGCTCTGTGCATATGCACACTGGGAATAGGCTCCCTTTGTTCCTCTTCCTCGCTGCTGCCAGACTCTGGAGGCTCCAGAGTCAGCACCCCATTCCCAGATGGCCCTGGCCCCATCTCTGCATCGGATGCAGGACCCTCATCCGAGCCCTCTCCAGACTCCCGGACTGGTCCCCTTTCTTCCCCACTGTCCGATTCCTCTGCCGTCTGCACAGGCTGCTGGCGAACCACAACACATGTCAAGTTCCTCAACTTCCATTTTCCAAAGATTAGGGGTGCTCCGAAGTTGTGACATGCCTTGGGGATTGTAAAGATACGTTGGTGACTTGAATATAATTTAGATGGGCCTGGTAAGTCACTACATAAATGTCATAACTTTTCAACATGTTTGTTTGTTTCATTGGTAAGTTTGTACAACATCCATTAAAAAACCCCTAAAAGATGACAATCTCTGTGGGGGGAAAAAACCATGATATGCTCTGTGTAACATCCCTCATAAAGGTAGTCCCCGACTTATGACGCTAATTGAGTCCCAGATTTTTATGGCTAAGGGAGAACTTTGCTAAGTGAGTTTTGCCCCATGTTATGACCTTCCTTGCCACTGTTGTTGAGTGAATTGCTGCAGTTGATAAGGTAGCAAGCTAGTTGTTTAGTGAATCTGGTTTCCTCATTGACTTTGCTCGTCAGAGGGTTGGAAAAAAAATAACATTATGATGTGGGAAGGAAGAGGAAAGGGGGAAGGAAGGAAGGGAGGGAAGGAAAGGAGAAGGGAGGAAGGAAAGGAAGGAAGGAAGGGAGGGAGGGAGGGAGGGAGGGAGGGAGGGAGGGAAGA